TTTACAATGAAAAATGTTTGTGAACTACTTATTATTTTTTAAAACAGCCTGCTGTTTTTCAGGCTCATTGCATACAGACTAATAGCAGTTAGGCCTTTTAAGAATTATAATCATTTTATGGTAATAACTCAAATACTATAGTATTACTTGTTTTATTTTATATTTATAACCATATATAACACGTAAACTGAACTATTATATGATTGTATTATAGGTATATTATTTTCTTTTTGTCTACAACTTTATCAATATTATATTTTGAATGTCTAATAGTCCACAAACTACCTTTGGAATATTGAATAAAATATAACTGCCAACTCCAATTACAACTAATTTCTTATCGCTATTTCTGTATAATTTTTTCCTGCAGTCAATATTGAAAAAGTAGATCATAGACTATTTTAGATACTCAAAATATAATATTGAAAATAATGTACTTATAATATAAATATATAATAATATAATAGTTCAGTGTTTATATGTTACATATGGTTATAAATATAAAATAAAACAAGTAATACTACAGTCAAATAGTTATTACCATAAAATGATTATAATTCTTAAAAGGCCCAACTGCTATTAGTCTGTATGCAATGAGCCTGAAAAACAGCAGACTATTTTGAAAAATAATAAGCAATTCATAAATGGGCTACCCCATTACAAAGAACCTAGACTTTTTGCAAAAATAACTAATTATCCACATGGCCTACAACATATATATTTTATAAAGTATCCGCTCAAAGAACTTACATTAAAAAAAAGTGTTTTAAATTTTTACAAAATAAAAAAAAGTTACCATATCCCATAATGCTGTAGCTATATATGTTGCAGCTTCAACTAAATTACTAAATAATATATTATCTTTATTGGTTCTCAGATATGTATCAAGGGGTCCTAATGTAAAGTATTCGCTGACTAAAGCAGTTGGTGTATCAACACATAGACCAAATAGTCTTACAATAGCACTTGAAGACACAGAACTCCATCTCTTTGATAAACTTAACAAATCCTATAAAAATTAATAATTAGTACATTTAAATGTTAATTTATTTTAATAAAACAATTTACCATTAAATGCAAATTTATATTAACATCATCCTGAAATAATTTAACAACAACAGCAGATTCATTTCTTTTAGATTTGCACCATGTAGCCACTCGAACTTTCATAAGTGATTGTGTTTTTTTTTTTGGTGAGCAAATGGCTAATGAATAATAGTTTAAGTTATTAGAGTAAGAAAGTTTTTACTGAGACTTAAGTAAATGCTTACTTTTCAATAGATGTATAGAATCACTATTAATTAGATGAGGACCAGTAATTTTATCTTCTTCATCATCATTACCTATATTATGTTTAATACTAGTGTTTTGGCATAATAATAGTTCATTCATAGCTAAAAATTAAAACATAGTAATAATATATTAAAAATTATTAAATAAATAACAAATTTTACAAGCATTTTAAGTAAATGTCTACCTTGTTAACCTATTTTATTTTGTAATCAATATAACTTACCAATATCTGATGGAAAAATGCATTCAATAAAATTCAAAGTAGTTTTATTATTTGTTATAAGTTTCCAAATAGAAGGATATTCTATTTTATCATCACCGGCGAGCTTAAAAATGCCACCTTTACTTTCTATTACATATGTCATTGGCTTCATGCTAGAATATTTGTTATTACATTATATAGTTATTTAAGTAACTTATTTATCATTATGTAATTTGTAATTATAATTCATAAACATATATGAATTTATAATGTTACCTCTGATTAACACAAACATCGATTACATAGTTATCATAATTCTTCATGCTTTGTCTAAGTATAAAACTTCCATGTTTTTTGGACATTTTTTTTTTCAAGATAGAAGTAGATTTCATTATGCTATGAAATAAAATACAATTTTAGACATTATTTGAAAATTGAAATAATATTTTCTATAGTTTAGATAATAATTTTAAAATTAACTACAATAAGTAAATTGTTAAAGAAACTTCAAACTTGTTTTAGATGTTATTATATTCTACTTAAATATTATTCAATACATAATAAATATAATTTAAAATATAAGTGCTATGATGTTTATAGTATTGATTGCATACAATATCTTAGATATAATTTTCTTTCTGTCAGTAGTATAATATTAAATTGTAATCAAAAGAATAAATACAATTTTTTTATTTTAATTTTTAATTGTTTATAATTCATTGAACTGATATTTAAATATTACAGTATTTAGCTTTGAAAATATAAAACAAGTTAATAATGACATTATAATCAATGTATTTAAGATAGAATAAATGTAATAAATAATAACATAATATACATAAAAACAGGTACCTGATTGGTCCATGAGAACGAATTGATTTAAGTTTGCTCAAAGATGGGGTATTAGTAGATGCACACAAATCAAAATTCCAATTAACCATTAAACGATAATAACCATTCAGTAATGTTATGAATGAAAACATTGTACTTGTACTTAAGAATTTTAAATGAATAGGTATACCAGTCTTTCTAGATATTTCAACAGTGCCATCATCGGTAGTTGATAGAAAACACAAATCTTCAATAGCTGCCAAATGTACCCACTGAAACAGGTGTTGGTTAAGATATTTATCTATATACACACCAATAACTTAACATACTTCTTTCCTGTTTTCAGTACACATTCTTATACCAGGCATTTCAGAATGAAATGGATTTATTCTAAATGCAACATTAACAGAACTGCCATTTTCACTGTATAAAGCCTTATATTCTTCTTCTAAATAATCTGGTGCAATAGAATTAAATTGTTCTAAATAACTTTCTTTGATGACAGGTATATAAAGTGAACCAATTGTATTGTTATTTATAAGTATTTTTAAAGTTTCTTGAACAGGTTTTTTCAAAAAAAACATGTGTTGCTTAACTACTTCTTGGGGCATAAAGTTTTTATAATTTTGTTCGACAGTTTCTCTAGATTTGTCTTCTTCTAACATAGACCTATACATATCGGCAACGCCCATACCAATGAGCTCTCGTTTGCATGTGTCATAGCACAACCCAGTAACTTTACTTTTTAATAGATCAGATTTAACTTGATAAAAATAGAAATTATAAGCATAACAATCAATCGACTTAAGTCGTTTAACATCGGGCATTTTATACCTCAACTTGTATTCATAAATGTGATGTTCGTTTTTAGCATATAATATAAACAGAGAGGGGCTCAACCACAGATTGTCGTCAGTAACGCTCAAGACTCTCAGTCCAAATAAATGTCTGGCTACCGGTCCAATATTTAACAGCTTCGAGGTCTCAATAATTACATCTTCCACAGTCGTGTTGATGGTGACAGGTATCTCGTAAGGAGTCGCATGAACAGCTACGTGCACTTTGATCGAAATGGACGAATCCATCATATTATCGTCTCGTGTTGGTTGGGCACCGGTATTATTTCCCCGCGGCTGAAAACTACGAACATTCAACAAATAACAATATTTGTTAATGAAACGCGCGCGATCAGAAGATGATAAAAAATTCGATTATTATTTAAACGAGTGAACATAAGGATGCAGATGTTCCTTTACAGTGGGGTATAATACGCGTAACAACGTATTTCCGAGAAAATCACGACAAATAATCAGAAACCGTAGACACTCATTATAAATTATAATAGTCTTGTAATCGCCAATCGACATTCGGCACATATCATTATTATTTATTACTTTTTATTATTATTTTTTTATAGTAGGCACATTTACTACTATTACAATTTACAATCATTATTATTATTTACTCACTCAACTCGGTAACCCAACCACGGGATACAGTCGTGCCGCGGTATAATAATAATAATATGTCAATACGTTGATAAGTATTAAGTAGTGTCCAATATAAATTCTCTGGAAGATTAGATCGATTGTAATGTATCATGTATATGACGTAGCCTGTTGCAGTAATGAATAAGGTGGTTTTAGCCGTTTCAGCTAAGCCCATATGGCCATATCATAAATTATTAAATTATAATAATAAATATAATAACTAAGCCCATAGACTTATTAAAAAATTTTAATATGTAACGGCCATAGTTGATTAATACAATATTCGAAAATACAAAATAAATTTGTTGTTTCCCGTGATTTTAACATACTGAATACTGAATCAGTATTACTGTCTACTGATGCCCTGTCGCCGGGTAAATCGTTTACAGATTTTCCATGTGATACCGGGTAGCGACAATATGAACATGAACATTAAACTTTATTTCAAAAATAAATATCATGTTCATGATTTAATGATTATGAACTAAAATTAAATTTCATGACAATAAGTCATTAATTATATCCATATTCCATGTCTATTTTTTGGAATTGCGACAACAATATTTTACTTTAGTCTTTAGAGTTACTGAGTTTAGAAGTTAGTAGTTATCATAGTTTAGACTAGAGTTCTCAACTACAACATCTATCGTTATTACTCTAGACAAGAGACAATCATTGAACATTGAACTCTATAATAATATGTTAAATTCAATATTGATGCATAGAATTCAATGGAGATTGGAGACTAATGACAAACATACTTTTTCTATAAACATAATAATACTGATGTCTCAGATATCTGATATACATTATACACCATACACCATACCCACCCAGACGCATATCACGAATTGCATACATTCCTATCTATTTTGTCACGATTTATCTTATCGAATGATTTACTATCAACAAATTTAAATAGTAAATACAGAATATAGATGCATAAGGCATAGCCTTCGAAGTTCGAGCACTTCAAACACCGGCATCTGTAATTAAATTATGTATTGATTGACTATTTTCACGGTAATGATAGTCGGTTAGGTATATTAATGTTTTGAATTTTTGTGATGTGAATTGTGAATTTATATATATTAGTTGGACCTCATAACGGTTTAAATTATTTGAATATGTAATTTAAAAAAAACTTCTTTATCAAGGATATTTGTTATACATTAAGTTTTGAAAATTAAAAATTATAATACGTGTGCCCTCAATTTTTAATTTTATAAAAAGATATATTGATTTAAATATAAAAAATGGAGAGAAAGACTCGTAGGACAAAAATGAAGACGGTGGAAAGTTTAGTTTGTTTGGTAAAATCGGTAGAAAATCAATATACCACTATTGATTTACAAAACGAAACTTCTGTGTACGGACTTGTCAAAGAAGTTGACTGGTATTACTAATTACATGTGCATTGACATATTTAGTTAGAAAATGAAAATTTAAATACTTGTTAATATGCTTTATAGTGATATGAATGTGACCTTATGCGATGTTACTCTTACTGATCCAAATGGTAATCGATATTCCTGTGATAATTTCTTTTTAAAATCAAGATTAATACGTTATGTTCATTTGTCTCGAACAGTAAGTTGAAATAATGATGTTAAGTACAATTTTAAAAGAAATTTATTTTTGGTGTTCTTCTAGGTTGATATATTTCAAACTATGAGAGACGTAGTTAGAAAAACATTTCCTGCTAGAGTTAAGAAACCAACAACTTATTCCTTGAAGAAAAAGAAAATAATAGCTAGACAAGAACAACTTAAAAGGGAAGTACAAAGTATGAATAGTAGTAAAGCTGAAACTAAATCATAGTTGTATAATACATTGTTAGTTTAAGATATTCTTTTAGTCAGATATAATTAAAAGTTAGTCTTTTTATATAATATTACATGTCATAGTATTCTCTTAAAATGCTAAATAAAAATAATACATCTATATATACTTATTTTATTTTTAATAAAAAAGTTTATTTCAATTATTTTTGTAAATTTTTTTAAGAAGTACATAAACTTTAAAATAAATTTAAAACTATTTTATATCATAATTCGTAGAACTATAATCAGTACCTAAAATGTAGTTAAAATGGAGTGTACTTCATGCATTTTTTTATTTAAATTATTTATTTATTTAAATAATCCTATAACTGAAATGTAATACATATTATATATAGAATATGTTCTTTAGAATTTAATATACTATTTCAGTTAGAAATAATAAGGAATAATTTTATTATAAATAAGTTATTTATTAAGAAGAGTAAAACATATGTTAAGGATATGGAAATAAAAAAAAAATAGATAAGTATGAACTATACAGAAAATGTTGTAACATTTAGATTAACTGTGAGGACAATACTAAGAATCTCTATAAAAAGTTATCTCTGAAATATTGTTAAAACATTCTACGTAAAAGGATATTGCAATGAGTTATTCATAAGATATAATACAAATAATTGTTATGTGTTGGCAATAATCAACCAATGAGTACCACTATTGATTATTATAACTAAGACTATAAACCACAATCATTTAATGTGTTCCTAAATAAGAATGTTATTTTATATTTCCTGTATGATTAAAAGTCCACAGTAAATTTTATATGTAATATATAAATAGTAATACATCATTGGTTTTTTTCTATTGAATTTAAAAATTAAATAGAAAAATAGTTATTTACTAAATTAAGTGTTTATTATAAAATATATTTCACTATATTATATTAATCTATTAATTACACTTAATGTCAACATAAAACATAACTATACTTCAACTACATTTTAAAAATGATTAAAATTAAAAATAAAAATTATATGAACAAAAAAAAACTATTTGTCAGATAATTGAACATTATCTTTTTATTCATTATCAATTAAAAATTCTCTTAATTAGTACCTTATTAGGTAATGAATAATTACAAATTCCTTGTAAAAGAAAATACAAAAATTAGATTAAATTAATTTGTGCATAATCATTTTTTAAGATGTGTATAGTATACTCATCCTAGTCAAATTATTATTCTGTTTATATAATTAATTTTATTTATTTTTTATATATTTTGGGATTTTATTATTAGTATAAAAATTGACGGTTTTTTTTTTAATGAAAAGTACATATTTTATTCTAGTTTATTACATATTATGCAAAATTATTCTTTTAAAGTAATACACTATTATTTTAAACACTATAAAATTCATTGACTTGGGATGATTGAAGTTCAATTTGTGCCATTTTAAATTGTAATCTTTGTAGCCATTTAAGAGTATCTAAATTTACTTCGGATTTGGAAAGATCAGATCTAGGCTTCACTGTTGGAGGTTCTTTAGGTTTAAATTCAATACATGTATCTAAACGTAATTTCATATGGCCCGGTAACTGTAATCAATAAAAAATAATTTATTACTAAATATAATAAAATGCTTTATGCTCCACGTGCATAATTAATATATGTCTAGATATAATTACATGTATTAAATACTATACCTTAATATTTTTATCAGTAAATAAAACCTCTTTCCACATAGGTATAAGTTTACACAATGTCACTGTACGACATTCCAATAATGCTTCAAGTAAACTCAAAAAATGTAAATTTACCATTTCTCCCATCTAATATAAATAAATATACATTATTATAATTTTTTAATGTTTGCATTAATATGAATGATATATTTTTTTTTTTATCAAATGATATTATTTTGACATACCGATTTAGATTTTGAAGACAAGTTTAGCATACTTTGAGTAACTTTATTCCAAAAATCGTGTAATATGTTCATTGTAAATGAATGGTGATCACCAGCTGTTACCATTTGTTGAGCTGTTTGTTCCATATAAATTGTCCACAACTAATAAATATTTATTATTATGTTTTAACTATATGTATTTAGATTGGTGGTTATAGATATATTGGTTTTATTATATATTTTATAGTTTGAATAATTGTTTATAGTTACTTGACAAAGTACAAATGCATGGAATAGAGACGACATATGGATAACTGATGATTTTGATTCTTCTGCAAATCCTGTCATTATTACATTAACGTGATCAGCTATTTGACATGAAACATCCTGAGATAGTGGTAGACAAGGTCTATTTTGCATTGTTGTATATGAGAGAGATCCAATTAGAATCCAAGATAATAAACGTATGTGACTAAGACAATCCGAAAAGTCTTTGCAGTTGTAAATAAATAATCTGACATAAACATTTATTATACAATATAAATAAATATAAAAAATATATATGTTAAGTACAATGGTATATCTAAATATTAATTATGTGGTTTGTATTCACACCTCCTCCACAAAATAAAAAACAAACTAGTCTAAACTGAAAAATAAATTTTAAAAACTAATTTTTGAATACCTAATAAAATATGATAAAAAAAATAAAATATTTACCCAATAGTTTGTATTTCATTAGGTCCATAATATAACCAAGGAAATATCTTATGTAGTGATCTTGCATCTCGAGTATTACTTTTTAATAATTCTAATGACAGGTACTGAGACATACCAGCTTTCACAGTACTCCCAAATGTATCCTCATTAATTCCTTCTTCGGGTGTCGTACATCGACTCTATGCATATTTATAGATTTACATTTATAATATAATGTATTTTATTTTAAAAAGTAAATTATATTTTAAAAATAAACCTTTAATTTTGTTAAAGTATTAAAATCTGTTAAGAAATCTAAAATATCTTGTAAATTATTCCGCAAAAGTTCTGAAGCACCTGTTGGTACACTAGTTACAATAGCCGGAAATGTTGGCACTATTTTATCGATTGCTGAGCATTCTGGTAATATTCCACCAATATCCTGAATAATTATAAAGATAAGGTATTTTAACTTTATAATATATTAAATAAGTTATTTATTAATTTTACTTGGAGTATGAAGGAAACATAAACCAAAAGGTTGTTATTAAGATTCTGTGTTTTAAATTTTAATGCTTGTATTAACTCCACTGTGACAGCTCTTGTTAGTATTGTTTTTTCTCTTTCCTATGCATTAAAAATGAAATCATATTGTTTAAAAGATTAATTTTCATTAAAGTTATAATATTTATATTATGTATTAGCATTGAACAGTTCTTACTCTTGCAAATGTTTTGTAACTTGATGAACAAAGATCAACCAATAAATAATAATTAATATGGTGTTGTTGAAGGGCATAAGTTAATATTTTTGAAAATGGATCCAAAATACTCTAAAAAACACAAAATGTAATATATTGATATTAAAAGGATATTCATTATTGTAATAAGGAAAAAATTTGTTTAATTTGTGAACATTACCTTAGTTGAAATAATTCCTGGTATTTTCAATACTATAATCATCAGCTTGAATATTAAATTAATATTTTCAAAACTACTTATTGTTAATTGAATTTTTCTAAACAATGTGTCAAATTGATTAAGAATAGTTGTCCAAATCAATGTTGATGTAGTGGCTATAGTGTCTGTGGTTAATATATCAATATAATATATAACATTGGATAACATTAGACAACAATCATCTGTTGATAATGATTTTTTAGAATTTAAGACCTGAAAATTTTAGTTATAATTAATATACTAAAGCATGAGAAATAAGTAATAAAAAAAAAGTATTACTCCTTAAATGGATTCATCTTAAGAATACTACACTAGATTTTATATTCTTTTAGGCATAGAAAATTTTAATATTTATAAATAAGTATGGAAGATTTTGAAAAAATAAACAAATTTATTTTTGTTGATTTGTAACATTGTATTATTCAAAAATAAAAAGTGTAATTTACCAAACTATCCACCCATACTGGTGGAATATGCTGATATGATATTGGAATTTTTCCTGGTTGATCGTAGCTATGTAGTGGGCAATGGATTGTTTATACAAATAATATTTATTTTTGTTTAAATTTGTGTAAAACAATATATTGAAAAATATTTTTTGAAGATATTATTAATATAGGTAGTTAAAAATAAAAGTGATTTATCAGATAAAAAATTTGTACCTACATTTTTATTATATCCTGTTTTTATTAAATGCAACACATGGGTTATTTTGTTAAATTAAAAAAAAACCTAATTACTAATTTGAAGATAACATGTTCAATAAAACTTTAAAGGGCATGCATTTATCTCCTAAAAAAATCACAAAATATATCTAGAATAAAACAAATTTGAAGGCTGATCAAACAGTTTTTCCAAGCGAATTTTTTTTATATATCATTACCTACCCAAGCCCATTTTACTTTAGTAATGAACTATTGGAATTTTCTATTATACTTAAGGCCATTACTTCCAATTGCTTAGATTATTATACCAATTAAGGATTGTACTGTAGTGAATCAAACTTATTTTTTTAAATGAAAATTAACTTGTATTATACTGTAAAATACCAAGCAGGTGTTTTTTTCAAATAAAAATTGATTTATTTAGATCAAGATTCAAAATAATAGTTTTTGAGTTATTAAAATGCGGTTAATTCTTTTATCAAACAACTTTAATTATTTAAAAATCTAAAATTAAATCTCAAAAGTTAAAAAAAAACAAAAACAAAAACAATGAGCAAATAATGAATCAACCTGTCAGTGGCGTAACCAGAATTGAATATTGGAGGGGCTTCTAAGATATTACTTTTGAGCCATATATACATTATAATGTTCTAGTTCACATGATTCTAAAAATATGAAAGAAATGGTTAAGGGAACATTATTAATTTTATTATGGTTAGATTATGAATTGTTTATGTTAATTAGGTACCTATAATAACTATGCTATTATAAATTTTAATTATTTTATTTTAAAATAACTTCTATAATACATAATCTAATCTGTACTTATTTAATTTATTTAATCAATTATAATGTGAACTACACAATTTAAAATAATTGTGTAAGTAAAAAGACTATTAAAGAGGTTTGGGTGGG